TAAAATAAATATTATTTTTTATTTTTTAATAATAATTAATGTAAAAAAATATCTTTAACTTGACTACTTAAAAAAAAGTTACAGTTTTTTAGTTAACTTTTTTTAAAAAATTTTATATTGTATAATAAGGAGTAATATTGTTTTATCTATTAAAGCACTGCACTCATCATATCATACAACTTAAATTTAAATTTTTTAAATTAAAGAAATCATCATTAACTTATTGAAGTTTTTTAAATTAATTTAAGAAGTGTTTTACTTATTAGATTCATTAAAGTATACAATATAAAATAAAATACTAAAAAAGTAAATTTTCTAAAATTAAAAATTATCATTTTATCTAATAATAATTTTTATTTTGTAGTGTCAATTGTAAGGGAAAAAAAAAAGAAAAGAAAACGTTTAGTTAATACACTTAAAAAAACCATTAAAATTTGTATTCTCAATTTGAATTTATTGTAAGTCTGTATTCCTATTTTAAAATTTTTAACCCTTTCAAAAAGAGCTTACTGTAATTAACAACTTCGTGCGCTTTTAAGCAATTTTATTTTTCAATCCGCAAAAGGACAAGAGGATATTGCTGCCTTCATTGTATATTTCAATTTTTTCTTTTTCTTTTTATTAGTTGCATGATAAAAAATAATCATTAAATTATTTAAGTAATTAATATATAATTTAAACATTTTTTAAAATTAAATAATCATAAATGCAGATCAAAACTCCCATTAAGAAGATACAAGGGAAATTATTTAATATATATATATATAATATGTCTCACATATTACACTGAAGTACTATTCAGAACTCCAATTTCATACAAACATGCAGTAAAAGAACTAAGACATCTATTGAAGTTGGACACACATCCAACAACTAATATTAGAATGTTGTAGTGTAGTTCGTCTTCCTAAAATCTACTGCTTTTAATCATTAACAGAGGGATGAGTCTTCAATATTAAAAAAACTCCGCTCCTCCATAAATGGCTTCATTTTATTCTGAACTAATTTTATCACCATATATAAGAACCTGCGCATCTTCAAAAGCACAACAAAACTATTAGTACGATCCAGAGAATGTGAACAAACAAAGGGGACAGAAGAGAATATTTCAAGAACTGGTTTATAATTTGCAAGTGGTGGGGTGAGGAGAGGAATTAAGGGAGCGAAGGAAGCTATGGCTGACTGACTTTTGGGAGGGATGAGGAGATGCTGGGAAGTGGAGGCAGCACAGCACCGCGGTTTGGCAGGGAAGGCAGAGGCAGAGAACTGGGGTGAGGCAGGGAAGGCAGAGGCAGATCAGATGATTGAATTGTGGGCTGTGGGAGAATTGGAACAGATGGCAATGGTGGCAGCTCATTTGGCAGAGTCGGTAATGTAGACAGTTGTGGTTGTCGCAACAGCTGCTGCAGATGACGAGTTGCAAGGCCTAATTCCATGCTTGAAAATGTGAGAGCCATGAAGAAGGTCAAGATGAAGGTATTGAAGGAAGCCATTGCAATGTTGTTTTTCAAATAAGAGGGAGATTTGTGTATTCTTAAAAGAGCCGAGGAGTTTGGGGTTTGAGTGAGGACAAGAAGGCGTGGGATTGGGTTTATATAGAAGCACGTAGGATGAATGGGGTTGAACCGTATGGTTGAGAAAAAACAGGAAAACATTCCAATTAAGTGATGGTTTGTCTAAGACCCCTCGTTCGGGTGGCGACGAGAGACCGTCAAGGTGTGGTTGTGGTTGGTCAAATCAGGATGCTCGTGTGGGTTTAGGAACATTACCAAATTGGCTTCTTATTGATGGTTTTGGCTAACTCAGTCTAACTCCCAACGTAATTAGCCACAAACAAGTATTTTCTCTCTTCTTTTTTGATGTTAAGGTTACAATTAATGCCACATCCAAATCAATAGATTAAGAATTTAAATTTCAACCTTAGATGTTGGATTTTGAAATAGCAGAAATAACAAGTAGATTATCATTTGAGGTAAGGTAACAAAAGTTTTTTCATAATTTGATAGTCACTTCATGACATTATAATTAAATTATTATTGTTATACAATTACAATGTTTTCTTTTCTTTTCTTTTTTCTCCAAGAGAGAGTATTAATTTCAAAAATTGAGCTTAAGTATGAATAATCTGGTTTTTTGCTTGCATGCAATTTTTTTTCCAATCTTGTGCGCAAATTAAGTAGCCATAAAATTAACCACAAAGAATTGAGATGATTTATAGAGTTTTACTGAACAGAACAATTACAAACAGTAACATATATAACCCCATAAGTATATATCTCAAATATATATTACACCAAACCATACACACCTCCAATTCTACGAACAAACATGCAGTAGACAAAGAACAAATACATCTATAAAAGTAAAATCCGTAGTAATGACGCGGCTTGGAAACAGGTAATGCAAAATGTAATGCAAATCAAAACTAGTATTGTAACTTCAGAAATGGATTTTAATTAGCTGGTGGTGGGGAGAGGAGAGGGATAGAAGGGACGGAGGGCAACACTGGCAGAGTGACTGTTGGAAGGGTAGGCAGGGACAAGGGGATGTTGGGAAGCGGAGGCAGAGCGCCGGGTTTGGGGAGGGAAGGCTGAGGCAGAGATGGTAGGTTAGTGGGGACTGTTGGAATGGTTGGCTGAGGCAGAGATGGTTGGTTTGTGGGGATGGTCGGAATTGTAAGCTGAGGAAGAGTTGGAATAGATGGCAATGGTGACAGCCCCGTTGGCAGAGTAGGCAACGGAGGCAGTTGCAGTTGTGGCAACTGCTGAAGGAGATGACGAGCAGCAAGGCTCACTTCCATGCTCGAAAATGTGAGAGCCATGAAGAAGGCCAAGATGAAGGTATCGAACGAAGCCATCCTAATGATTTTAAAACAAGGGGAATTTAGATTGGGTATTGTTAAGACAGCAGAGGAGATTAAATTCTAAGTGAGGAAAGAAAGGAATGGGATTGGGTTTATATAGAAGCTAGATGCAGAGGATTGGGCTGTTTGGTTGAGAAAAAGGAAATATTTGATATTTTGACTGTATTTAGCTCACCAAGCTCTGGCTCCTAGTCCATCTGGTGGTGAGAGACCGTCGGCGTGTGGTTGTAGTTAGCCAAATACAGACTGTTACGGAACTTAGGATGATCAAATAATTGTTTGGGTTCTAATTGGTGGCTTGCCTAGCTCCTAAAATAATTAGCCACAAGCAGGTGGGTTTGCTTTTCTTCTTCTTTTTGTTTTTGTTTTTCTTCTCTCTCTGTTTTTTTTTTTCTTTTTTTTTTTTTTTTTTTTTTTTGTTTTGTTTTTGTTTTTGTTTTTTGTTTTTTTTTTAATGGCTTGGGCAAATATAGTTCATGTCTCTTCTACTACTAGTCAACATATTATGTCTCAACTTTAATTTTAAAGTTTCAAATTTATACTTATAGATGGATAGAAGGTATTTGAAAATGAATATAACTTCTTCTTTTTTTGTATTTTTTTTAATTTTATTTTGAAATACATAATAAACTATAATTTTCTTTTATTCTTTAACTTATTCACTTTCATGAATATGATTTAAATTCAAAACCTCATAAGTAAATAAAGCTTTGAAAAAAAGAGTGTTATTCCTTAATCTATAACACATCATCTGACAAAAAATAACATATAGCTATTTTGGCACATACAAGAGGGCTTAGACATGACAAAAGTTGACACAACCCACCAACCCAATCCAACCCTTTAACTTAAAATGAGTCATAATTAGGACTCTCGATTCGTGAACCTTTTTGATTTTATCTATTTTAACCAGTAATCTATGTAAGAACCTATAAAATCAAAAAAAATGAGAGAATCATGAGTCTGTCCTCTCTAAACCATGTTTGACTTAACTTAACTAATCCATGAATTGAAATGAGCTAACCTTAAGTGACTCATTTACCATGTCCAGATGGGCCCAATATGATCTAATCGTAAATGTGCAGTTTTTTATGGTAAAATATAAATGTGTATTTAGACACTTAGGGTAAGGATTTTTTAACCCAACCTCCTATAAGCAAAGAGACACATCTCTTTTGTGGGATTTGAGATCTTTGCGATGTTTAAATGTAATTGGGATTCCTATTGGAATAGGGTTGAGTTATTGGTTTCGAGTCTTCTGTAATCTTTGTGAATCATAAATAAAGTCTCTTCTTCACCCATTAAAGTAAGTAAATTCCCTATAACGTTTTTTAGTTGCTTCCTTTATTATTTTGTTCTTCTTTTTCTCTAAAAGAGTATTACTTTCAAAATGAGCTTAAATAATAATCTGATTCCTGTGCTTGTCTTTCTTTCCGTTATATGCTAATTAAATAGGTATAAAAGCAGAAAGAACAAGAAGATGCATAGAGAATTTCTGAACATAACAATTACAAACAATGACATATATAACCCCATACATATGTCTCAAATATTACACCGAACCATACACACTCCAACTTCCACAAACAAGCATGCAGTAAAGAAGGAACAAATGCATCTATAAAAGGAGAATCCGAATCCACAAACTAATCAACTCCATATTGCTAATCATATAAGCAATGGCGCACCATGGAAACAGGTAATGCACATCAAAACTAGCATCTCTAGACAATGTGTACATAAAGGGGGACAGAAGACAACAATTTCAAGACTGTTTAATTAGCTAGCGGTGGGGAGAGGAGAGGGATAGAAGGGACGGAGGGCAGCGGTGGCAGAGTAACTTTTGGAAGTGTAGACAGGGATGAGGGGATACTGGGAAGTAGAGGCAAAGCACCGGGATTGGGGAGGGAAGGCTGAGGCAGAGATGGTTGGTTTGTGGGGATGGTCGGAATTGTAGGCTGAGGAAGAGTTGGAATAGATGGCAATGATGGCAGCCCCGTAGGCAGAGTAGGCAATGGAGGCAGTTGTGGTTGTGGCAACTACCGAAGGAGATGACGAGCAGCAAGGCTCACTTCCATGCTCGAAAATGTGAGAGCCATGAAGAAGGCCAAGATGAAGGTATTGAAGGAAGCCATCCTAATGATTTTCAGACAAGGGGAATTTAGATTGTGTATTGTTAATAGAGCATAGGAGTCTTGAGTTTTGAGTGAGGAGAGGAAGAAGTGGGATTGGGTTTAAATAGAAGTTGGATGCAGGGAATTGGGCCGAATGACATTTAACTATCTATATGCACATAACTCATATAAAAAAAGAAAAAAAAAGAAAAAAGAATAACAACGTGATCAATAAAAGGTAAAAAAGATGATACTTACCTCCATTTTTTATTATACACTTATAGTCATCGAAACAGTACCCAACCCAAAGTTTCAATTAATTAATCCATAATGTTCAT